TTGAGTATCTCATCGCGGATATCAGGAAGATTGGACATGATCCTGACGCTAAGACGACGTAAACATTGTTTGTTTCTGGAAACAGGATGCAAGTGAAAGTGAGAAGAACAATGTAAAAGAAACGGAGATAAAAGCAAACCGCTCATTATACCTCAGGCACCCAAATGTTAATGGCGGTGACAGAACCCTTGCATTGCTACAACCTGGGCGATCTAATGCACCATCTTCCTACTGGCGTCTGCGCCTCGCGTGCATGAATATACATTCTCCATAATCCCAAACGTAGTTTTTAAGGATCGATCGTGAGAATTATCTAATACAGGGCCTTGCACTGAAAATTGGCCGCATCATCAATGTCTCCTGAACCCACATACTGAGCCAGCTTGGGATACGCGCATATCGGCCGTTGTTTGTCGATAGTGTTCGCGGTATACTCAACACTACTATTGAAGCGAGATCCGATGATATAGTCGGGTGCAGTACCATTCTCAACCCAGTTGATCAAAGCCAGGAAAATATCGTGCTTAGCATCTTGGTAGCCCGGTACACTGTAAAGGGACGAGCTCAGCGTGCTCGCCTGCGTGGGCCCGGCGATATACCACGGTGCACCCATTGTGGATGGTGTGTGGTAGCAATGCCTGGAATTTTTAGCTCGTGATCCCATGTTGGTCCTGTATAAACTTACTCCATGCCAGGTATAGCGAAGAAGCGATAGAAGTCATCGATATCAATACCCTGTGGCGCTAGCGTGGCAGCCATGTGGTCGCGGTAATAGAGGCCGATACCGGGGGGTACAATAGCGTCGGAATGACCATGGTAGTGGATGAGCTTCCCTCCGTGGTGGTAGAACTCGGCCAGGTCATAGTTGTCAGCGGATGAATCGCCCGGGTCGGTCTGATCGGCGTATTGCACCACGCTATAATCGAAGTCTTGTACAGTGAAGTTCGCAAGGCCGAGGATATGTTGAGGATACCACAGCTGCGAGTCTTCGTTGCCAACACTGCCGTTGCCGATCACGCCGCTCTCGTTCCACATTGCTTCACTTCCGTATAGCGGATGTGTGTACACGAAAGTCTGATTGGTTTCCACCCAGTCGTTGTAGATCTTATGCAGTGTCTCTATCTGAGGTCCTGTCAAGCAACTGGTGTTCTTTGCCTCAGTACAAAGTAATGGGAGGTAGTCGAAATGACAGCCTAGTGGATCCGAAATGATGTTGTCGACCAGTCCGTCTTGAGGGTCGCACTGACGGATTGCCTCTGCTCCAATGACGGCAAACATCTCCATTGGGATTGTATGAGCTGATCCCTGAGGTGCCTGATAGGTCGTCTGCTTGAGATTGTACAGCTGTTGGTGGGTTGTCCACCATGCCGGGCAGGCAGCAATCACTCCGTCATAGTCCCGTGGAAACTTCTGTGTCTCTTTCATGGCCTGGCGCCCACCAGTGGAGCAGCCGGCGAAGTAGCTATATTTGGGCTTTTGACCATAAAAGCTCTCGACGAGGAACTTGCCCAGTACACTAGTGAGGTGGTTGGCACGCCAGGCCCAGTCGTTGATCGACTCTGGGTTCTTCCACCAGACTCCATCCATGTCGGAGCCCGTGTGGCCCGTGTCAGTGGCTACAGAGGCGAAGCCATAACGCAGTCCAACGGCCTGGTGATGGACTTAGTCTATAACTCCATTGGAACTAGAGTAAGATCTGAGACATACCATGTCAACCCAATTGATATCTTCACCTTCCTGCGCAGCATGGCTATATACTTTTAGTCAATGCCGGGTGTCCTCTGGGAAGGGTTAGAGTCGCTTACAAGAACCTTTCATTCCACGTATCAGGCAGGAATACGCCAAAGCTGAAGTGGGTGTCAACATCCGTCGTCGCATTGACCTGAATTGCACACGCTGCTGGCAATTGAGTGGGATTGGTGGCGGAGCTGATGTTGGGATTCACAAAAGTCGAATTCTCTGCATAGTGACGGGCATAAACTACACGCGCGGCGGTACCATTGGCGTCCAAGAAAGCTTGAAAAGTCTCAATGGAACAGTCATTACTACCCAAGGCGACTGAGAAGAATGTGAAAAACGAAGTGAAAAGATGCAGGAACCGGAGTGTCATAGCCATTACTCATGTAATAACCAAGCTTTCAGATGATCTGATGGTTGGGGATTATCACCATTTGTCGAACAATTTATATATCCGATTCTACTCGCTGTGGCGACACTTTATTCCTCGTTGTTGTTATTGCGACTAATATATCGGCCCATCCCCGAATTGCGGGGATACGCGGGGGAAATTCTGCAGGACGGAAACGAATGCTTGATCCTGTTGGATGTTTGCCCGCAAAATGAGGGCCTCTACGGCCGCCAACTTGCGGAGTCTTTCCCTCATTGGGATTCACAGATCAACTGTGCGGGCGTGGACAAGATATAAGGCAACAATTGGGACGGGAAAGCAACAGCTGCCAGACATCTTAACCCACAACAATCACTGCATAATGGGGTATTCCCCGCTCAGGATGGCTGCCATGGCGTCACTACTACTGCTGGCTCTTCCGGCGGTGGCTAAAGCTTCATCCGCTCCCACAACCCTTTTGTTTGAGAATGACGGAAACTGGACTGCTCATGCAGAGCGACCAAGTGCTCTTCTAGTGCATACACCTGCCCGGCGTGGTCAGGCTGAAGCAATCTGTGCTACCCATGAGGAGCAATTGCTGAGCTGCGATGACGTGCACCATTTCCGCCAGTCCTTCCAGTACCAGCAGTATCTGGGTACTCTACCTGAGGAAACGCTGCTCTGGACTGCTTGCAGCATACCAGTCACACTGTCTGGTATCTCTCCCGCCAGAAATGTATCTTCGGATGGAGAGTGGCCTTTTGTCTGCACAAACTCGGCTCCACTGGTTGACCGTGTCGACACCGATTACTCCCCCTTCCCTCGGGTCAATACGACGGCAAGAAACATCACATTCGAAGGTCTCCGTGATCATTTGACATTTAGATTTGCCGGTATTCCGTTTGCGCAGCCGCCGATTGGCACACGCCGTTTCAAGTATGCCGAAGCCTGGGATGCGACCAATGTGACTTACGTCAATGCAACACAATACAGCCCAGCTTGTCTGCAATTTGGGTACTTTGATGGAAATAGCTATGGCTTGAACCCTTCGGGTAATGACGAAGACTGTCTGTACTTGAATGTATATACCCCCTTTCTTCCGGGCGATGCGGACGTGCCCGAGGATCAGCTGAAGCCTGTTCTCTTCTGGATCCACGGCGGCGGCTTCTCCCAGGGAACCGGCTCGGACCTAACCTTCGATGGAGGAAGTCTAACTTCACGCTCTGATGTGGTCATTGTCACCTCGAACTACCGACTGAATATCTTCGGGTACTTATCACTCGATGATGGTACCATCCCTGGAAACTACTGGATGTCTGATAATATCGCTGCTCTCCAGTGGGTGCAAAAATATATACGCGGGTTCGGGGGAAATCCAAAAAATGTCACCATTTTCGGACAGTCAGCTGGTGGTGCCAACTGCATCGAGCTCGTTGCTTCTCCACAGGCTGCAGGTCTTTTTCAGGGTAGTATACAACAGTCGGCAGGCAACGGCCGCTTTAGCACACAGAGCGCAATAGCTGAGCTAGCTGAGCCCTACCTCAGCCCGTACTGCAACGACACCGGAGCTGCCCGCCTAGCCTGTCTGCAGCAACTGCCTGCTTCAGTGCTCCTCAACGCCAGTGCCGACATATTTTTCACTCCAGTCATCGACAATGTGTATCTACCTGATGCACCTATGGCACTGATCGCCCAAGGAAGCTCTTACATCAATTCCGTACGGATGATGTCCACCCTAATGCCCGAGGAGACTCAATCGCTGACCACCACCACGCTGACGCCTAATATGACCGACCTCCAGACCGCACTTGACCTGCTCATTCCAGGAGGCTGGATTAATGAGAAACAGGCCGATCACATCATCCCCTCAGGTTTGTGGCTGATTAGCAACGAGACCTTCCACAACGGGTCAACTTCCTACTCCAGCGTATACAATGCTAGCATAAAGATATCCACAGAAAACAACCAAGAATGTCCGAATGGCGCCTACGCCATGGTAGGTGCCGCCACGGTCGCTTTCCCCAGCATGCATGTTGCCTATCATCAGCGCGGATACGCTCTCTCTTATTACGACTTTTACGACCTGTGTACGTTCCCTGTTGGAAAGCCGAACACACCTTATTATCGGTGCCACTCTAGTGATTTGTATGAGGTATTCGGGACTTACTACATTTTTGATCAGCCGATCCGGGTTCCTGAGGATATTTACTACACCAATGCGGTGCAGGACATGTGGGGTTCGTTTGCGCGAACGGGTAATCCCAATGTTGACAGGGAGTATCTGCTAGCACGCGGGTACAACTCTACCATGGAGTTCTTTGCAGGCTGGCGTTGGCCGGAGTTTACGGCGTCGAATATGGTCCTTGCTAATTTGCAATATCCGCGGCCGGGGTATACAGATGTACCGGATCTGGAGCATTGCAGGTATTTAGCTAAGGAGCAGTATTGAAGAACGCAAATGCAACAAGGTGCTTGAATTAAAATCCGGACTTCTAGATTCTTTAGTACTCAGGGCTTATAGCCCATCATCAATCGGGCCATCCGATTTTGTTCCCAAGGATTGTGTCTGCCTGGTACTCATTTCTAGCTTTAAGCCCGGGATATGCGACGACATCCCCATGGTTCTCAAGGACATCTTGCACAACCACAACTCCGACGGAACATGAGGTGACAACTCTACTCTGTTCCTTGCCCCTCACCAACGCATTCCCTGGGTTGAACTAGTACCCCTAGCCTATAATTCAGATATTATGCTGCGGGTCAGCCTATCAAAACGGAACACATCTGTGTTGCTCTGTTTGCTTGACCCACTTCGACCAACACCGCAAGAATTACATGAGAGAAGAGGGCATAACCAATGTTTGCATTTTCTCAAAATTTTTACTTGAGCCATAAACATTCATCATTCCCTGCTTTGTTTGCTTTGTTTCTGGCTTAATACAAAGATGGCTGAGTGTGGGCATGCCCGCCGAGTTACTGGCCTTCTCAGGTGAAATCTCTCTATTTGTCCTCCAGGCACCAACACACAAAAGCCTCCAACAACTTACTTTCGGACGAAGGCTGTGGCATAGCCATTATGACTTCATACACATATTCAGCCCTTCCTCCAGGGTCTTTCACTCGTATGATCCGGCTCTTACCACAGAAGGAAAGAAGTGCCCCAATCGAATGCCAACTATTTGACTATGATCTTTCAAAGACAGAAGCGGAAAACATCTCTATGAGGCGCTCTCCTATACATGGGGTAGTGGCATTAAGTCTCAGTCAATTCTGATAGATGGATCCCTTCTCTCTGTGACTGAAAACCTCCACACTGCGCTAATATACCTTCGGGATCATCAACTGGAGAGAGTATTGTGGGTTGATGCGGTCTGCATCAATCAGAAAGATGAAGATGAAAAAGCGAAGCATATCCCGTACATGCGAGCTATTTACGCACAAGCCGATCGTGTGATGGTTTGGCTTGGGGAGCCAGATGATAATGAGGGCAATGCACTTGACACTATTCATCGTCTCGCAGAAGACAAGGTGCTTATGCTGTCGACGTCGGCCACTGTTCTCTCATCAGGAGTTAATTACAACGCCTGTCTTAAGATGTTCAGGCACGATTGGTTTCGCCGCATTTGGGTAAGAAAGCAATGTATGGGGCTTAATAAATAAGATATCAATGATCGTGTGCAGGTACTGCAAGAAGTCGGTGTCGCGCGATGTGTTATCTTTCAATGTGGCTTCACTCAAGTTGACGGCTTTGCCATCTGTGAAGGCCTTGGTGGCTTGGAGACATCGTTCTTACCCGAATACATCTTCCCAATTGTCCCTCTCGTTCGAGGTGCAATATTTCGGTCAAGAAGTACACCAAAGTCACGCGTTACTCGCTCCATAGGGGAGCTCATTGATATGCATCATTCGCACTTGGCCACGGTGTCACATGATAAGATATATGCGTTACTTGGTCTGTGCTCAGACGATCTTGGCACACCCTGTTTAATACCAAACTACAAGGGTGCCCTCGATGAAGTCGCTAAGCGAGTCATAACGTATGTATTTGAGGGGAAATGCGACGTGACGATTGCGCCTGGAACTTTGACAGCAGTGATCAAGGGCAAAGGCTGGATCCTAGGCCGCGTTATATCGGTTCAGAAGAGCAGCTACAGCGATATCAACCAGGAAATTGAGATTCAGTTTCACAAGTCTCATGTGAGCCAAACTCTAGAAAATCAGTGGGGCAACAAATGGAGGCTTCAAGCTTCGGCAACGCCGATCCAGACAAATGATGTTGTCTGTGTCATGCAGGGATCTTCAAAGCCTATAATTATCAGACTGAGCAAAGACCGAATCAGTGTGGTCATAAGTACAGTGGTTCCACGAATTACCCCAGAAAGAAGCCGCGAAGAATTGTCCTTTGAGGAGCTCTCAGACGTGCACCCACAGCAAGTAGAACCCACAGACGGGACTCTGGTTGACTTGCTTGTCACTTGGGACATTATTGAAACTATCAATGATAAAGGAAGCGAACATCCTCATCAGCTAGCAAAACTAAGCAACATGGCGCTTAATCACCCAGGGCAAGCGGCTGACCAAGAAGACTTGAGGTGTCGGCAACTCATCATGGAAGACATAGTTGTCGATATTGTGAGTCGCAGTGAATTCGCAGTCCATTTCGAGCCATTGAAGCTTCTACTTTGCCAAACCCTACTCAAAGTACCAGTCAGCGAAAGATTAATCTATGCCGCGTTAGTAGAGCCCTATGAAGGTACACTGCTTCCTTTCCTTCTAGACAATAAAAGAGAGAACCTACCAATTACAGAAGCTTCGGTGAAGGCAGTACCGGATTGTACTGGACTTCGCAGCCTTCTTTTCTATCCAGTAAACAGGAAAACGATCACTGAAGCCGTTATCCTAAAAGCAATGTCTCCTTTGGAAGTATATCCCAGCATATCATTCTTCTACGAACATCAAAGAAGTTTGCAGATCAAGAAAAGCCTGATCAAGGCAGCCTTAGAACATGTCGACGCACCGGAAATTTTGAGGCGCATTTCCCTCAACAAAAGGAACCCATCGGGATCTGAGAGTCTGATCAAAACAGCGATTATGATGCCACGGGGATATGATATTCTACGTCAGGTCTTCTCGCCATTAAATGAGGGCCCGCCAATCACTGAAGACTTGGTAAAATATGCTGCGGGGGGGTTCGTTGAATCGCTATCACCGGTGCAATATTTCACTTTCCAGGGGGATTTGCCGCCTCCTGAAAACGAAGCTCAAGCAGCAAAGCACAATGAGGTCTTCTATAAACACAGTAAAAATCTCGTAAGGTTGTTCTATAACTGCCAAAAAAGTGTGGTCGTTGCCGCAACAAAGGACCCTGAAGTCGGGAAGAAAATTAATCGAATGGTCCTTATTGGCTCAATACGAAGAGGAAGACGGGATGACCAGAACCCGTTTGAATCCTCTAGCTCCGATGAATGCCTAAAGCTAAGGAGGAAAAGGAATGGAAAGGAAAGGAGGAAGCTACGGAGAGCGGTAGACAAATGGGGGCCTTCTGAAAGTATCTTGATGCCTACGTCCGAGGTGTCATCGTCGTCGTCTCTGGAAGCGTCCTCATCCGATTTAGAACAACAGAATCCCTTCTCCAAAGTTAGATTCTAAGGAAACAAATCTCCAGTTTGTCATAAAACTCTCATTTCGTTATTCGTTAAAGCCGGCTGGTCGCACCGTCAGGCAATGGGTCTGTATTCAACGGGACAGTTGAGTTCTGCACAAAAGGCCGTTATATCACACAGCTGCCAATTTGGACATCCACCTCTTCCCACCACATCATAGTTGGCTATGCCCCCTTCAGCAATGCGCCTCCATCACTCCCAATCCTCTGCCCTGTTACGAACCCATCCTTCATGCACCAAACATACGCCTCGGCGACATCCTCCGGTCTCCCCACCTCCCCTGTCAACGTCCCCTTCTTAAAAGCTTCTAGATATGCTTCCCTCGCAGGGCCCAGCCTCTCAAAAATCTCCGTCTCAACAGCACCTGGGGCAACCACATTCACCCTGATGGGTGCCAACTCCACCGCCAAACCACTAGTCAAGCCCTCAAGCGCTGATCCCACTGCCGCACCACCCACCGCCAACCCTACCGCTGGTCTTGCGGCCATTAACCCCGAGGTAAATGTTATGGAGGAGGTATGATTATCAACCAAGTATGTCTTTGCATGTTTGCCCATTACCATCGGGACATGTAGCCGGAGGGTGCTCAAGGCTGCGAAACTGGATGCGTTAACCTCGGGAGAGGAGATGGGGATCCGCGGTGGCGGGGTGCCGGCCGTGTAGATTATATGGTTTAGCAAAACTCGTTCAGTGCTATCATTGTTTCTGGTGGGAGACGCCGTATTCGGAAAGAGAGAACGTGATGTAGCGTAGTCGAGAAGGTCAAGAAGGTTCTTTTCTAAAGTGGCCTGATCGCCTAGGTCGCAGGATTTTCCAGTGATGCGGTCGGTGTAGACTTTGTTGGGATAGAGAGCTTGGAGATGAGAGATAGTAGAGGACACTTTTTCGGGGTTTGAGCTGGATATGATGATGCTGGCGCCGTGTTCCAGGGCTGCACGGGCAACGGCAAAGCCGATGCCGGAGGTGCCTCCGATTATCAAGACTCGGGTGTTGGCGAGCTTGTTGATGGAGATGAGGCTGGGGCTGGTCATTTTGCTGTACGTGGCAAATCCCTTGATTCGACTAAATCCATATGATGTATATCAAATCCTGAGGGTTTTATATGCCATGAATATATGACAGGCATACGGGCGGGACTCGGGCTCTTTTTTCGCGGAGATTGTGTGAGACCGGGACGCGGTACGAAATGCAGAGTGACCCCAGCGCCGCCAATGTTGCGCGAGGATTGACCGCGAAAGTAGACTTCCTCATCGCCCGCCTCAACACGATGCCTGTTTCAGGCCCGGAGGGTGTGATAATCTAGTGCTGCCGGACTCGCCGTCAGCCATGTTTCCAAATACGCTGGCTAGCGCCATGGGGCTGACTTATGATGTGGATTCGTTTTACAGCTTCGAGCCTCTACTTCTTCGATGACTAGAAGTGCGCCAGGGGACTTGAAGACGGCCTGCTTGGAAGTTTGTGGAAGATTCTTTACTACTTTTCCGTAATCTCTATGTCTGATATGGATGTGTCACTTAAGATAAACATGAACGGTTCAAAGGTTACATCAGGACATTTTTATGTTCTACATCCATTCATGCCCAGCTTGATCTCACCGTTCTTTACGCGGGGATAAGATATAGAAAGGATATCATGAAGTAAGCTTCGTGGACTTTGATTAGTGAAGCCGTGAAGGATTCGAGTTCCCGGAGTTGCTGAAAGGAGATGCCAGAGATATAGTGTGGGGACCAATAGAAGAGGGGTTTGCCGTTGCTGACATCAGTTTCATCCACGCTGAGCTCAAGCCGATCGAAATAACCTAAGATCATAGAATGTTCATAATCGGAAACACCTTGTACTTGCTACCTTCAGAAGCAAAACAGGGTGGAACATCAGAGCGGATGTGTATTGCTGATTGACGAATGACCGATCCCGTCGCCCGGAAGGTCCGGAGGACTTCCTAATCTGGTAATCCGGAATGCACCAGGTCTGACACCAAGTCAATGTCTCCGATAACTCCATTCTAACGGTGATTTAGAGCATTGACTGCCAACTTCGAGACTCTTTGGCTCCCTATAAATCTATCTCTAGCCTCATTACATAGGTCATTGGAATCTGAGTACTCTTTCCGGCACCCGCGCTACTCGTCTACAACTCATAAGCCAGGGGAGTATAACAGACACCAGACACTTTATTGTAGGTCACTTCAGTACAGGATTGTAAGCAATGAACGAAAGTAATGCGAAGTACCTACCAGGTCATTCTTACTTTATTCAGTTCCTCCTGCAACATGCTAATCAACCCCCACACCTTCCCCTCTACCTCCCCAACTGCTCTATTCAACCTTTCCTTTCTCTCCATATCCACCTTCCCGCTTTCCTCACCCGCATAAATCCCCGCCAACCCCGCCAACGGCAACACCATCACCATAGTCGCACTCCCATCTTCTTCTTCCACGAACCCACAATCTAGGGGTACATGCGTGCCTACATATATATTCTCCTTGATCATCGCCGCTGCCAAGAGCGGGTTGCCAAAGAGGAAGCGACGGACACGTCGACCTGTTCCTGATTCAGACTCCGATCCCTTAGAGGGTGGTAAGAAGTGGTGTAGCCACGACCCATGGTCGAATTCAGCGAAACAGACAAAGTCGGATGGTGTGTTCGTGGACTTGATTAGATCGGTTACTGCTTCAGCATTGGGTTGGGTGCGGAGGATGCCCGGGGGCTGGAGTGCGGGGACAAGGGCGCGGAAATAATTAAAGATCTTGGGATAGGAAGTAGGAAAGTAGATAATTATATAATTTACTCTGAAGGTTGAGATGCTTGAGACTTCGGGCAAGGATACTGGTATAATTAATATAATAAATCATGATAAGATTAATAGCAGTAAGATGATTAGATCATATTATTAAAAGAAAATAAAGAAGGATTTATATGTAATTAGCTTGGATATTATACAGAAATATAGTACTTAACTAATTTTATAAAAGTCTGTCTAAAATAATTTATTCAAGTATTATATTATTCCAGCTGAATTGCTGGTATGCTAATAATAATAATTAGTCTTAAATTAAATAACTTACTGTTACTATTAGATCTGGTATATATAAGTTATTTAAGTATATGTCAGTATATAGTACTAGAATCTGTATATTTACTCACTGCATGATGGTCTATTCTTTATCTTAAAATATTTATTTTATAAAGTATTCATATTTAATTGACAAGCTGCGTACTCCCTGCTAAACTTTAACAGTGTCTCAGTCGTGTCTTGGGTATTGTCCTGACGATCGTTGGCGGGTCCAAATTTCGGGCACCCGCAGTCCCACCGTGCCAGATCTTATCATTTTCTTGAATATCGGAGATAGCGGCTAGAAATGGCCAGATATAGAGAAAGAAACCGAATTAGCATCAGCGATGCTATACCACTGGAGGATGGATAATCAACCATCGGCTTGAGATTCCTTTTGCGGGCAACAAGGCCGAGCTTGCCGCGACGACACATTCAGCTTCTGCACGGCTGGTAGAGGTGGTTTAACCTCTGATTTGGTAGAGGATCTGCGTGTCCCTTGTTACTTAAACACTCTCTTGTGATACCATGATGTAGTTAGCCCTGTCTGCTTCCGCTGGTGTTGATGCTAACGGGTTTCAATTTATGATCAGACAATGCCTCGTCATGAAGTGCGTAAAGATGCCCACTTTGTTCCTGTTTCGAAGTAGATCATTGTACCTGCATAGGGCAGGGCCACGTATTACCTTTAACCTTATTAAGGAGGTCGCTTATACTATAATCCAAACAACGTTGCGAAGTGTATATAACTTTCGAGATCGTCCTCTCCTTCGATTTAATTCTCCACGCGCTTTCTGAGCCATCGACCAATTCCCTCCTTCTTTCATTCTTTCTCGTCAGTACTACCCGCTAAACCATGAGAGTTCACCCGTCCTTCCTAGGCACTCTTGCCCTCAGCGCGAGCACCCTAGCATCCGCCGAGCTCAACGTCCGCACGGTTTACCAATTCGCCTCCAACGACACCTGGCTCGAGAACCTAGCCGTCCGATCCAACGGCCTCATCCTCGCAACCGAGATCGGGCCCCCAGCAAGCCTCCTCTCCTTCGACCCGCGCTCCTCATCCCCGAAGAAGAACGTCATCCACACCTTCTCCAGCGTCCTCGGCCTCTCCGGCATCACCGAAGCAGCCCACGACGTCTTCTACGTAACCGGCGCCAACACCACCAGCGACAACATCTCGGACCCTCCCAAAAACGCCACGCACATCTGGCGCGTCGACTTCACCACCAACCCCGACACCCCAGACATCAAGCTCATCGCCCGCCCCACCGCACCAACTGGCTTCAACGGCCTAGCGGCCTTCAACGAGACCATCATCCTCGCCTCAGCTTCCTACCACAAGACTCCATCTTCGCCGTCGATACAGCAACCGGCTACACCTGGGAAGCCATCAAAGATGCGAACCTGATGAGCAGCATCAACGGACTCAAGGTTCAAGATAATTTCGTCTACTGGACTGCCAACGGTGCTCTTTACAGAGCAGAGCTCTATTCGAATGTGACTGCTGGTCCTGGAGAGCTTATTGTCCAGTCTACTGCTTTTGACGATTTTGCTGTTGCGCCAGATGGGCTCCGTGCTGCCAGTGGAAGAAAGTTCGCGTATGCGGCTACGGCGGCAATGAATACGATCATGCAGATTAGCTTTGATTTGCAGGGTGGGAGGAACCTGACGAGTGTCATTGCCGGCAGTTTGGATTCTACGGAGGTTGCGGAGCCGACGGGGTGTGCGTTTGGGAGGGGCGAGGGCGAGATGGATTGGTTGTATGTCACTACTGGTGGTGCGAGTGCGGTGAATGTGGATGTGGACGGGGTGGAGGTTGCTGTTGGGGCGCAATTGTTGGGTATTAAGCTCAATTGAGTGGGATAGTAATTGAAGGGTGGAAACCGGCGTGAAATAGGGGCAGTAGAGGGTAATCGTGGTGCAGAAGAGGGCCCAGAAGAAAGATGTGTAGGGTGAAAGTACTATAGTTGTCCCAGTGTTGTGGGAGCTGTACGTGTAGGGTGGGCAATAGATGTTGTAATAAAGACAGTTCGAGCAGGCCATGATATATTCTCCGTTCTACATATACTCTTTCGCCTGCTCAAAGCTCAATGAGAGAAACTGATGGCTAGAAATGCAATCGACATTCCAGTCAATTATTGTGTGCCGGAAATTGGAATTGGTAAGACAGTAAACGAAAAGAAATTGACACTGACGAACGGGGTAATCGTCTTGTTCCAGCAACAATTAATGCCAACCAACAAGCATGTCTTTGAATTTGCCAGCAACAAGATCTTGCTGGAGCAGAAGATCCGATGATCGGAAAAAAAGCAAAAAGAGATGGTCCCAGAGGGGCTCGAACCCTCGACTTTGACGTTATTAGCGTCACGCTCTAACCAACTGAGCTATGGGACCCAGTTTTTGAAAGCGGCCGTCTCAATGGAGTACAAGAGGCCCCATACTGGCCCACCGTCCACAAGCGGAGTTGTGGCAGAAAAGCCAGTTTCGACCGCCTCACCCACCGCTCCAAGCGGCAGAACCTAGTCGACCTCGTCGAAAAAAACCTCGGATTTAAGCGGATTTAAGGACATACAGCCCCGGAATGGTGATGTCGATTTCTGTTAAAATGTTGACCGCCCTTGGGGGAGGCGGCAGAAAATGGTCGCTGATCCTCGTTCTCTAGTACAACACGTGCTGTTCTCGTATCTCCAAATCAGTTTCTCTCTTCGCCATGCCACATAGATAATTGTATCTTTGGTGTATTTCCTTATTGTCAAATTTAGACAATTTGCAGTGGTCGGGGACAATGACTCCGCAGTACAGTGCTGCCAATCAACCCAAATCAATTTTAAACATATATATTTCTCGAACCACATCCGTTAACTGGCAGTACGGGAGTATTGTCTGATCTGCTAAAGTCATCATTTTTATGCCAGTATGAAGCACCGTGATCATACTTCAGCACATAATTGTGCAAATAACAGTGTTTTTTGAAGGATTACTTTTCAGACATTTCTACATCGTATGCAGATTGCCGGAGCAGCGTGCAAGGTGGTTTGTGTTTGGTCCGCTTTGACCCGGATTGCGTTATGCGCGGGGTTATTAAGCAATCAACTTGAACCTCACTGCACCTACCGTTCATTTGTTTTAACATCAAAGCCACACATATATACTATACCAGCAATATGAGGAGCCTGGTGTGCTTGTTAGCCCTGGCTGGGTTTACTACACAGTCGCTAGGGCAGCAGCAGCAGCAGCCGCTATATGCGACCGCCAAGCCCAATGTCGTCTTCATATTAACCGATGATCAAGACGCTCAGCTCGGCTCCCTGGATTACATGCCTTATGTTAAAAAGCATCTCCTAGACAAAGGAACACATTATCGCAGCCATTACTGTACAACCAGCGTCTGTTGCCCTTCGCGGGTGACCCTTTGGACGGGGAAACTGGCCCACAATACGAACGTCACGGATGTCAATCCTCCGCATGGTGGGTGTACTACGCATGCTATTGTGATATGGGAATATGCTTATCCCTATCACAGGTGGTTATCCCAAATTTATCTCTCAGGGTCTAAATGATAATTACCTCCCTGTATGGCTACAGGAAGCCGGGTACAATACCTACTACACTGGTAAACTGTTCAACGTCCACACTGTCGACAACTACAATGCCCCCTTCCCAGCTGGGTTTACCGGCAACGTGAGCCAGTATCAATGTCTAAATTAGGCCACTCTCTGATTGGTCGCGCAGGACTTCCTTCTCGATCCATTCACATACGACTACCTTAACAGTACCTTCCAACGAGACAGGGAACCACCCCAAAGCTACGAAGGAGAATACAGCACCGATGTCCTCGGACAAAAGGCATATCGCCTCCTCGACGAAGCAGTCACGGCTCAAAAGCCCTTCTTTCTCACAGTCGCTCCCATTGCGCCGCATTGCAACGTTTTCATGAATGGAACCGGCTTAGACGCCAACCCTAAATTCAGCTTCAGCGCACCTATTCCCGCCAAGCGGCACGAGCACTTATTCCCCGATGTTAAAGTCCCCCGTACCCCCTCCTTCAATCCGGAAAACCCCTCAGGCGCCAACTGGATTAAGACTCTCAAGCGACAGAATGATACTAATGTTGACTACAACGATCATTTTTACCGCCAGCGTCTACGCGCCCTCCAGGCCGTTGATGAACTGGTTGATGGCTTATTTACACGCTTGAAGGAATATGATATTCTCGACAACACATATGTAGTCTATAGTAGCGATAATGGCTACCATATTGGTCAGCACCGACTCCAGCCCGGCAAGTCGTGTGGATATGAGGAAGACATTAATGTTCCCTTGATCGTCCGTGGTCCCAATGTTGCCCAGAATGTATCTACAGATATTGTTACAACACATACGGACCTTGCTCCCACCTTCTTCGATTTGTTAGGCATACCTCTCCGGGAGGATTTCGATGGCGACCCCATCCCTTTGACAGAGAACCAGATCGAGGAGGCCCATGACGAGAGACAAGAGCATGTCACAGTTGAATATTGGGGATATGCCGCGGGAGAGGGTATATACGACTGTGCGTACCCTTCTCCCACACTCCATTCTCTGACTATAAGCGTGCTAATCAGGTCACTAAAAGTTGATCTATCTGCATACAACAATACATACAAAGCTCTCCGCATCAAAGGTAGTGAATATAACCTCTATTACTCTGTTTGGTGTAACAACGAGCATGAACTCTACGATATGACTGTAAGTGATCCCGCTGTATTGCCTTTCGGAATCTGACCAAAGAGACAGAGTGACCCTTATCAACTTCACAACCTCCCTTCTACAAATGGGCTTCCAAATGCGACCTCTCACATCATCCTGAACGTTGATCTTTCCAAAGTCGTTCAGCGACTTGACTCCCTTCTACTGGTGCTTAAGTCCTGCAAGGGCCAGGTATGCGTCAAGCCATGGGATGCCTTGCATCCGCGCGGGGAGGTCACGACGCTGAAAGACGCACTGGATGTGCGCTATGACTATTACTACGAGATGGAACAGACAACGCGGGTCCAGTTTGACGAGTGTGCGCGCGGGTATTTTCTGGATGCGGAGGGCCCACAGTTTGGTCACGGGACTGAGTATGCGGTTCTTCGGGATGGATTGCCATGGTATGAGTGGGTTTGAATGTGCAGGAGAAGTCTCGAGGGTAATAATTGTTACACATCTGACGACATTCGCCTGCATGGGTCGTGTTGTGTAACGTCAATCATATACTTGATCTGAGTTTTGTGGCTACTTATAATATGCGAAATAATGAGAAATCCGGGTCTTCCTTCGTGGAACGCGTTGTTCCACGCATAGGAGCCATTCATATTGAGGTTAGCCATCGGGCTATCTCGACTATAGGCTTGTAACTGTCAAAAATGGGGTGTTGACGCGTTGTTTTTGCAGACCGCCAAGGCCTCAGGCAGGACTTGATATATCCACATGACAAGTCGAACATGCTAGGGGGTAGCACCTGCATAGCATTGAACTCTGAAGAAAGCAGATGGCATTTTGAGATCAAATTGGCTCAGCCTATTAGCCTATACTGCAATACATCATATGAGGAACCTTGAAATATTCCAGGAGATTCATGCCTTGTTCAACTCAATGCCAAGACTGGGGATAGAATCCGAGTCAGCCCCGTCCGGAACGGTCGGGTAAGCCATCATGCGGTCCAACGTGTATTCCAGGTGCCTATGAGGGCTTTTTGCTCTTAGAAATTCATACCTGTGCATCTTGTGCGAAAATAGGGAGCATATATTGCCTACATCAGCCCATCTCCGAATCTGTCATTGTCTTCAACCCCGGAAGACGTGCAGGAACCAGGCCTGCTAAGCACGGGAGACAGGAGTGGGTCACCGTCGCGGTGGAGCCCCCGAAGGAGCCGATTTATTATTATTCCAGCCCGTCTGCGAATCTCCCCATTCTCTCTTTTCCCCAACTCCCCATATTCCAGTTGTCAGAAACGCTCGCGACAATGGATTCCGCGATTTCGCCCTTTTGGGGTGCACCAACCTCTTATTTGAAGTATGACTTTGAATCTCCTGTCAATTGACGTGCAAAATGTAGACTAACCAATGCCAATAGCTTCTGTGAAGAGGTCCGTCTAAAGCAACCGCAATCTGGTCTTTTCTTGGTCTTAAATCGTAATCGCTGATTTGTCCTTTAGGACTATGTAGTTACGCGATATGTTGCGGAGTTTATCAATACGCTCAGCAGCTTTGTTTACAGTATGTTTACTCTTGTTTTATGGTTGTACAATTACTGACACGTCTGGTTAGTTCTATATGGGATCTACGGTCTCCGGCAGCTCCACAGCAGACAGCAGACCGGGTCACGCTCAATCCTATACTGCGGGTTGATTGGCGTCGGTGTCTGCTCTGCTGGTTACCATATGACTTTGAAATATCACACTCAGATGTGTACTGTCACCTTCTCTTTATTCGGCCTATTTGAATCACCATAGTGATATGAGCTGACTGTCTTGACAGCGGATGAGCTTTCCATGCACCTCCTCACCACTCCGCTCCTCTACCGCATTCTGTCTTTCCAGGCCACCCCTCAGTACACGAAGACTGTAGGTATCATTCTTTCTGTACTGTTCACGATCGTCATGGTCGTCCACATGGTCATGGACGAGTTCCTGCTCCACGCCGTGACTTTCGGCACCGCTGTGTATTTGATCGCGACTCGCACGCTCAAGATCATTCCTCGGGAGATCCCGGATGTCGAGGATCGCAAGAGGATTCAGAACGTGGCGCTGTTTGGGTGCGGTATGTTATTCATCATTCATTAATGGCTTATCAACCGAGTGTATAGCTAGCGCTGACATTTCTACAGCGAGCTTCATCTTCGGATACCTTGTCTGGCTGGTTGACGAGTGGGTGTGTCAGTCTCTGATCGGAGCCAGACACGCGGTCGGACTGCCCGTGGCATTTTTGCTTGAGTTGCATGGCTGGTATGTAGATCTTTCTTCATTGTCTGGGATACGCTTGGGATCTTGCTAATCGTCATGCAAGGTGGCATGTCTTTACTGCGATTGGTGGGTATATTGCCGTGGCGATTATTGATTTGATTACTTCCGGAAATTTGCAACGGGACTCGGTTGCACAGCTCGCGTGGCCATTGCCGACTGTTGCGAGGTTTCTCGGGCCGGCTGAGGGGGAGATGAAGCGGAAGTAGAATTGTGCAATTGAATGGTGTTGAGGAGACAGGGAAGAGTACAAGTAACTGAACAGGGGCGTGGGCGGATGGTGCGGGCGAAGTGGTAGAGATATGGATGATCCTTTTAGATACTCATAGAACCGTAAAGATGTGTTGTGCTAGCCATTCTAGAAGTGTTGGCAGAACGTCACAAGTAAACGAGTGATAGTCCGGAAAAGGCAAATACTCTATATTAAGAAACGTTCTTGTCTTAGGGTCGAGTACACGGACTCTAAGCTCAAGGCGGGGTATGATTGTTCCGCGCATGTAGTGATGTACTATAAAACTGGGTCAACCAGTAACCCGGAATCCTAAAGCCCTCGCTCGGGCTTTGAAATAGCAGTGAGAACCCTGTAAGCACCATTATACGTGAATAAAATAGACGCTTGAGCCGTGTATGCACTGCAGCCCGTGGGAGGAGCTTGTTGAATAAACACTGATAAGATGCTACATGATCCTTGCAAGCGGTTATTGAAAGTGCAGCTATTTGACCTTTAGAGTTACAAGCCAGTATGGTACATGGAAATTCAGCGTCGTCTATGTTTTCGTGGTTGAAACGTTCATGCTTTCTCACAGGCTTCTATCAACTTCTACTACTGGGAACTGTGGGTTTGTATGTAAACAAAATAATCTTTATTCGCAAATGGAAATCTATATGTCAGCATAGTCTGGCTCTGGGGAAAAATGCAAGGTGCCAATAACCGAGCTTTTGCCTATCAAAACTAGAGAGCTGGCGGACAGGAGATCAACAGATTGTGGACGAAAGTCAGCTGGGATAGCCACAATTTTCTTCTCATTGTAAGTCACCCATTTCAGATCCTCTTCAAACGTGTACATTGCCAGGTCTTTCCAGTTTAGCAAGAGCGGCTGTCGGTTTGAGATATTACTGTAGCACAGTAATTTTTTGATCGGTTTTTCCTTTGCCATATCCCATATAAGAATGGTGATAACATCTCTTGCTGCCAGTCGAGTATCGTCGGGCGCAAAAGTCAGAGAATAAACGGATGTCGAATAGCCAGCATGCTTCGTAAGCACTTCTCCGGTTCTCAGATCTGAGATCTTCACATGCCCCCTTTCACAACCTATCGCGATCTGCTTCCCGCTATGCGAAAAGGCAATGGCTGTAATGTGATCGCACCCAAAGTCGATGTCATACTGTGTTGGCTCCTTGCCAAGGCTCCAGACTGTCATAAGTCCAGCTGACGATGATGCCACCATGTCACCGTTTGGTGAGAAAGCAAGTATCTCACTTTTCGGCAGAGGTCTTGGGCTAGCTCGTTCTTCCCTACCCGTAGCGCTGTCGTACACCCGCAAAATGCCATCATTGCCGTGGATGACCATTCTCTTGCTATCTGGCGAAAAAGCAGTAGTCACGCCAAGTAAGGTCTCAAGAAGAATGCTGGGTTTCCATGTTATGGTACTGAACAACTTAAAGTAGCCATTATTATTGACAAAAGCTAGGTATTTGTTGTCTGGCGAGAATGCGGCAAACCGGCCAATTTCTTCTGTCAGTCTGTGTTGGAGTTTGCCAGTGGCGAGATCCCATATTTCAGACACATCACTGTATCTAGTGAGCATAGCCATTTCCCCACTGGGAGAAAAGAGAGATGAGTGTATACTTCCATACGTATTGATTGGTAACGCTGGTGGTTGGCCCACTTTGCCCAAGCCATGGAGATCCCATATTCGCACTGCTTGCTCGCGTCCTGTTAAGGAGACTAGCTTGCGACCATCAGGGGAGAAGGTAAAACTCCTGACTTCATCAGAGTAACCCTGTAGCCGATGGATAATGTGGCGAGTAGTCAGGTCCCATATTTCTAACGTCCCTGCATATGTGCTCGCTGCCAGCTGGGTGCAATCGGGTGAAAAGGCTATTTCACCGACATAGCCGAATTCGATTTCTCCAACATAGCCAAATTCGATTTCTATTACCTCCTCAGGTCCCCTTTCTGGATCACATACCAGTACCTTGTTATAATCGATCCTAAGGGCGATCTTTTTGAGACTCGAAGAAAAGACAGCGTGAAACCAGTAATCATCTCTCACCTCCCAGGCGAATATTTCTTCGGTATCACAAACCTCACTGCCACGGGGAATGATCTTACTCAACCTGACACGACCATCTGAGCATGACGCAATGAGCTCGCCGTTGGGTGACAAGATCCATTTATCAAACTGACCCTCTATAATCTTAGTCACGCCAAACTCAGAGTCCCAGAGGCACACTGCTTTGGTATTGTTTTGGAGGAACGCAACTCTTCTTGAGTCAGGCAATGATTTAATAGCCGCAATATCTCTGACACCGACCGCTATATTTTGCCGTCGATCCAGGTGCCCCGTAACAATATCGAAAGTATTGACAGTTTGATCTTTATAGACTGCCATTATCTTCCTGCCATTGGGATAAAATGATACTCCCAAAACTTCTTTCTGCCCAGGACTTAGACCCTGGTTTTGTAGTACTTGCTCCAGTTCGCCAGTTATCAGATTCCAGACCATTACATTACCAAATAGGGTACCAGCTGCGACCTTTGTTGAATCAGGAGAGAAGGTTGCACATCGTGGCTCCCCGCACCGGAGTATACGCTCAGCTTGTCCCCAAGAATCGTGAGTAGTAGATGTAAGTCTTATCCACCGGGGAGACTCTTTCTGATATTGCTTTCGTAGCACACTTGATGGTGGGGAGAAAATAAGGGCAGAGTAATGGACCTGAAGCGGAGCCTCGGCAATGTCAATGCCATGATGATTGATGAATTGTCTCCCATCATCAACAAATTCGAGAAGTTCTGGATAGTCCCCAGGCTGCTCATGTCAATATACCTACAGGGAGATGCCGGGGCAGTACTCACGGCAACACGAGTCTCCAGTTCAGTCATCGTGGGACTGGCATGTGACATCCTCCTCGTCAGACTTAGAACCTCTAGCCAGTGGGTGAAATGCTCTTTCAAGAAGTTCATGAGTTGTGTGGTTTCCTTTGTCTGAAAAGAACCCGCACAGTTGATATGGGTACCCCAATACCAACAGGCATACTGGACCTCATGGGGAAGATGCTTGTTGATGGTTTCCTGCGATACCTCAACCGCTGTAGTTCCTGGATGTTCAATATTGCAAATATTTCTGCGCAGGCTGCCCTGTTCACGAAGAACATCCATGCATCGATGGAAAAGTGTCTTATTCGCTTCCTTCTCGTCAATGAGGAGGTTCTCATCATCGCATCGATTTGGATCGACAAGAAAGTCACGAAAGGAAAGATGGAAGATTGAAACCTGCGACTCGTCATCTTCCGGCACAACCAGGACTGACTTCAGGTTTTTGAGCATTATTCTGATGTTTCCGCAGGGTTCTCGGAGAAGCGTGGCAAGATTACGCAATGAGAGGGCCTCTGGCATGGTGATGACTGACCCAACTACTAGCTGGAACAGAGGAATCAGATATATACTATCTGAACCTCGCTCTGTGATTGCCTGCTTCAGGACGAATTTGTACATTTCATCAATATCTTTGGTAAGTGAAACATGCTGCTTATTTGTATTGAGCAACAAATCCAAGGTAGCGTCGAGGAACCCAGTAGCCTCAAGTAATCGACAGGCAGTCGCTGCGGCGATGAACAATCGTCCACATCGTTCAATAAGTTTTTCTGCTCGTTCTTTGCCAGGCCACGCTTCCTGGGTCCTGCCTTTAGGCTGCTTTATTAAAGCAATTTCGGAAAGTTTGTCCTCGAGGAAAATACGGATGTCTCGTTCTGTGGTCAGATCTCCAGTACCATCAATCATTACATCATAATAAGTCGTTGAAGGAATCTGGGTGAATCCATCAGCCAGATAATCCTCGGGCCGGCTGGTCACAAAGATCCGTAGCCGAACTCTTTCTAGCGTTCTCGCTGTCGCCAAAAGCTTTACGATGCTCTGAGCATATATACGTCCGTTCTGGCATTCATCCAATGCGTCAATCACAAGGACTAAAACCATCGGATGCGAGAATTTGTCACTCAGCGCAGAAAGGGGTTCAAGAATGAGACATCGCCACTGTCGATCTAGAGACTGTTGAGCCACACCATGCTTTTGCTGAATGGAATCTTTCAAGTGGGTTGCAAAGCCAGGAAGCACATCTGCTAATTGTCGGGCCAGAGTGGGGAAAAGTCTATCGGGATCTGCTCGATCGGCATTGCTTCTCGAGAAGAAAAATGAGGCGCCAAGAAGAAGCTGGTCATTGAACATCTTGGCCGCAGTCCGAGCAATGGTAGACTTGCCAGTGCCTGCCATGCCTCTAAGCCAAAAGATGCAGTTGCTATCGCCTCCAATTCCCCATCTTTGAATTTCACAGAGAATCTGTTTCCGGGTATCTTCATGGCAGTATGGTGGAGGGGGCATGTCCTTCCTATAAGTATCAAATGCAGCATATTCGGCTTCCCGCAGTCCCCTAATCAAGGCGTCCTGTGTGAGGAGCTAATTGCAATGGTTAACTAAAATCCCACTGGTACGACTGTTCAACATACCTTGATCTCCTCGTGAGCTTTTCTACTCTCATCCAAAGTTGACTTCACAGTCTGCCGCAGGCGGGACATCTGATCATCAATGCTTGTGATTATCTTCTGATTGAGCTTTCCCAAATCCAAAGTGATACTATCTTCCGTATTCTTCATACTCGTAAGCATGGCCGTCCAATTGTCTTTCAGAACGGCGTCCCTTAGAAGACGCTTGATGGAAGGACGAGAGTACTGGGCCACCAGCGAAATCTGATACTTTAGAGACTGTGAATAAAGGTTGATCATCTTGTCTTTCACCCGAGAAAGAAGCCCCTGATCTTCAGATGACTGAACCCTAGAGATTAAAGGGGTTGTTTCTATGAGTCGACAACGAACCAAGATGTCAGAGATATCTTTCAGCCCAGCCTTGGCGGTATCAAACTGTGTCAGTGCATTATCTAGCAACTATAATCAAAGGTTAACAGCCTAATATTTAGCATCAGGGCATAAAGGGCAAGCTTAATCTGTATCTGTGAAAAGTCTCGGCAACGGCGATGTTGCAACAAGTATCGATTGAAGTGACATACCGGGAAAAATCCTGCCACGCAACCCCATGCCAGAGCTGCATGAGGTTCTGCGCTAACGGTCGCTGTGATAATATCCTTGAACATCTTGATCGTGCAGAGTATCTCAGACACTTTGTCCCCAACAACTCGGCCCCTAACGACCAGTCTTGCATTCTGTATCACATCCAGTTTGCCCTTGACAATATCCTGCAGCTTTTCAAGATTGCCCTTATTGCCCCTTTCATCGGCATCGCCATTGCTTGTTCCTGCCTCGTCTTGACTGATCTCCGCTTCCACTAGAAGCTTGACAAACTGGGCCATGACGTTTTCGTTCACTTCCTGCTCGACCTTCCGGTAAGCTGCTTCCCAAAGGCCGTTACGCTGCGTTTTATCATGCAATCGCTGGCTCAATTCCTCCTGCTCGACTTTGCTAAGAAGCTCAGTACGAGCCTCCTTCTTATCCACCATCGCCTTTTTTTCTGTCGTCTCTTTCATTTCCCTCGTCTCTTTCTTGTCCGCCATCTCCTTCTCTTCGAGGCTAGTCTCTAGTTCGACATTCTTGCTTTCGGTTTCCGGGTGGCAATGAAAAATAGATTCATCTGACGGAGCCTGGAGTGTGTTGGCGGGTTGAGTGCGACTTTGTGGTTCTTGTATCAGTGCAGACGAAGCAGGCGAAGCAGTCGCAGAGGAAGGTTCGACCTTTGGTGACTACGCCAATAACGTTAACCACACTCGGTTCTGGCTGGTCAAATGTCTATGCTTTACCTCCTCGGCGGCTTTATTTCGCTTCTTCCAGGTGCTAGGCATGAAAATTCCTGTCAAGGTCTCCTTACAGGTCATAATGCTCGCCTCAGTCGCGGAAAAATGTGGGTTGACGATGGGTGGGTTTCGGATTCGGAGCGGGGTTAGGAAGTGGTGGGTGAGAATTAAGCGCCTGGAAAAAGCAATTCCGCGTAGCCCCCTGCTCTACAACGTGATCAATGCACCTATTGACTGTAACCGACTTTTTGATAACAATGATGATATTATTTGTCGCAATTCCAACGATATCACTTCTTTTCACTTTTCTTACGCTGTCACTTTTGTTCCTATTGTTCCTTGCTGTGCATATTACTTATTTCGAATAAACTGCGCCTGTACATCTAACCACTATCAGATCTAGTCTGTTAAACAATGTGTACCTATCAATTAGATGACCCTAGCTAAGCTTTCGTGATAGTATTACAAAGAAGCAAAATTTACGGTGCCACTGTAGCACATCCATTGTTTTAACAGTTTTAGAACCGCATTTCCATATAAATCAAACCGCTTTCATCCCGAGAGTGGGGTTCTTACCGCTATTCCTCGGTCTGTCATTGGCAGATGCCTGACCCATGATTGCAATACTTCCCTTGTTAGACAAGGCCGTAAGCCAAACAGCGTCCCCGATGCTTTGATGAATCTCACGGTAATATTGCTCGGGTAAATACCCAGAGATTCCCCAGATTGCTTCTACTCGTGCAAACGTCCTAGTATATAAGACTCAAGCTACAACTGGCGTGACTCACTAGTACCACAGATCCCTGCACCTCAACTCTTGAAGTTCGAATCTCACGATTCATTGTCCTCATAGATATCACTACATATGTGGTAGCAGTATAATTTATGCTTGCCTCGGCAGATCATCGATGTTGAGATTCTGACCTTGACACGCGACCCTGGCCTGAACCACACAGTAATCACTTAAAGTTTAGCAGGGGGTACGCGGCTTGTCAATTAAATATGAATACTTTATAAAATAAATATTTTAAGATAGAGAATGGACTATCATGCAGTGAGTAGATATATAAATTCTAGTACTATATATTAATATATACTTGTGTTGGCTGGAAATCAGGAATCCTTACTAACTAAAGCAATCATCTCTTAACTACCCAACTCAGCTGAGAATCCCATACAAATTCTATGGGAATCCCAGCTAAGATGGATAACATAAAGATGAATCACTTTACACATGAAGTCTCGTATTATTGACATCATTCTGATTATTCGACTATTTGATTCTTTATTCACTGTTCCTTACCCCACTTGCTTACCCCGCTTTCTTTGTCTAATGATCAAACTGATGATTCATGA